AAAATTAAAACGTAAAATTAAGTATTTATCATAAAAGAAATGGTAGTTTTGAAATATTTCTTTTATTTTGAGAGTATTTTTATCGAATTCGACGAGAATTGTTAAATACTTAAGATATGCAAGGGAATGAGATTCCCATGAATGCAAGGGGAAAAAACACTGTTGGCAATACTTATTTACCTTTTGGTGGAAATACTTCTAAACCAAACATGGATATATGATTCTAGAAAAATTATTCCTCTTAGTAATAATCACTTTTTGGATCCAAATGCCCCCTTAGGGGAAATATGTTTTTCAAATCATGTTTCATTTAAAAGCAATCCCTCTTATAGGTAATGAAGTAATCCAAACAATATGATAATTTTTTAGTCTTTTCTCAATAATGTCATTCTCTTCCTTTTCTTAAATATCATCAAGCACGAACCGAGCAATCTTAGTGGTAAAGGAATTATTGTTATTCTTTGAGGTCCCGAGCTCGAGCACCAAGAATGCCAAGGGTATCAATGTTCAATGTCAAATGGCTGAAAATTATATTTGAATGAATATTGTCTAAAGTAATATAGTTATTTTAAAATGATCCTTATTTTTATATAACTACATGATTATAAATTTATTTTTATTTATTTTTAATGGTTTCATATTTTTTTAATACTTATTATAAAATAATATGATACATATAAATAAAAATATTTATTTTTTAATTTAATTTTGATTATTTATTATGTATATGTTTGATTCAAGTTTTACCTTTGCTATGTGTTTTTTATGTTTATTTTTATGATTAATTTTCATAAAGGTTTTCCATATTATATTTTGATATGATATTTCGTTGTATAACTCAAATAGATACCATGAATAAAAAATAATAATGTAGCAATTAACACATAATTACATCGATGTATGTATGTACATCTCTCTATATCTTGATACCTAAAAATAAACACATAGTTACATCGGTGTAAATATATAAATCTCTCAATTTCTGTATTTTTAAAGAAACAAAAAAATTAAATAATAAAATATGTATTAAATTATTTGTGTATAAATTTTATTTAAAAATATAAATTAAAAATAATAAAAATTTATATTTTGTATTAACTTTCATGTAAATAGTTTGACTTTAATATTGAGAATTAAACTTGTTAGAAAAAATATATATCTCAAGGACAATTTTGTAAAACATACATTTTTTTCTATCTTATATTCTTTCAACCAAACATTGTAATCTTATATTATTTCAACCAAATATTGTAATCTTACATTCCTATCAAATAAAATCAAACAAGGTAATACAATATTTCCAGTAATATGATAAGTAATATAATATTCTGGTAATCATATTTCCAAATATTGAATGAAAAATAGACTTGAAATGCTCAAACTTGAGGTTTGATGCTTTCTCTTTGATTCTCTCTTGATTCTAGTTGCTTGATGTTTCTTGTAGTTGATCAATGGCTTTTAAGCTTGCTTAAATACACCTTGAATCACTTCTGAACGTTGGGGATCATTAATGAAGTTATTGGAGCCGTTTAAGTGTGAAAACAATTAATATTTATGCTTGGAGCGTGGGGGGAATCGGTACCCCCTCATGGGGAATCGGTTCCTAAGTGTAAAATTCAAATATTTCGACCGTTGATCAGGGGGAATCGGTACCCCCTTGGGGGGGAATCGGTTTCCTCCGAGCATACTGGAATTTCTCGGAGCCAAACCATTCAGGGGGGGAATCGGTTCCCTCTGAGCAATCTGGAATTTTTGGCTTTGAAATGGTTCGAAATATTTTGTAAAATCGTTTTGAAATTATTTTAAGATTAAAATTTAATTTTACACTTGAGTAAGGATTAAAAATGACATTTGAAATATTTGAAGTAATATTTTGATATTTGAATAATTATATCGATATACTTAGAAAATCTTTTTGGAAAATCTTAAAATTCATTTAACTTAATTTGTTATATCGAAATATCAAAATGTTTCCAACAGAGTTGCAACCTAAAATGTGGTGCTACCATAAAAAATGTTGCAAATTAAAATTAAAACGTAAAATTATGTATTTATCATAAAAGAAATGGTAGTTTTGAAATATTTCTTTTATTTTGAGAGTATTTTTATCCAATTCGACGAGAATTGTTAAATACTTAAGATATGCAAGGGAATGAGATTCCCATGAATGCAAGGGGAAAAAACACTATTGGCAATACTTCTTTACCTTTTGGTGGAAATACTTCTAAACCAAACATAGGTATATGATTCTAGAAAAATTATTCCTCTTAGTAATAATCTCTTTTTGGATCCAAACGCCCCTTAGGGGAAATATATTTTTCAAATCATGTTTTATTTAAAAGCAATCCCTCTTATAGGTAATGAAGTAATCCAAACAATATGATAATTTTTTAGTCTTTTCTCAAGAATGTCATTCTCTTCCTTTTCTTAAATATCATCAAGCACGAACCGAGCAATCTTAGTGGTAAAGGAATTGTTGTTATTCTTTGAGGTCCCGAGCCCGAGCACCAAGAATGCCAAGGGTATCAATGTTCAATGTCAAATGGCTGAAAATTATATTTGAATGAATATTGTCTAAAGTAATATAGTTATTTTAAAATGATCCTTATTTTTATATATAACTACATGATTATAAATTTATTTTTATTTATTTTTAATGGTTTCATATTTTTTAATACTTATTATAAAATAATATGATACATATAAAATAAAAATATTTATTTTTTAATTTAATTTTGATTATTTATTATGTATATGTTTGATTCAAGTTTTACCTTTGCTATGTGTTTTTTATGTTTATTTTTATGATTAATTTTCATAAAGGTTTTCCATATTATATTTTGATATGATATTCTGTTGTATAACTCAAATAGATACCATGAATAAAATAAAATAATGTAGCAATTAACACATAATTACATCGATGTATGTATGTACATCTCTCTATATCTTGATACCTAAAAATAAACACATAGTTACATCGGTGTAAATATGTACATCTCTCAATTTCTGTATTTTTAAAGAAACAAAAAATTTTAAATAATAAAATATGTATTAAATTATTTGTGTATAAATTTTATTTAAAAATATATAAATTAAAAATAATAAAAATTTATATTTTGTATTAACTTTCATGTAAATATTTTGACTTTAATATTGAGAATTAAACTTGTTAGAAAAAATATATATCTCAAGGACAATTTTGTAAAACATATATTTTTTCTATTTCTTTCAACCAAACATTGTAATCTTATTATTTCAACCAAATATTGTAATCTTACATTCCTATCAAATAAAATCAAACAAGGTAATACAATATTTCCAGTAATATGATAAGTAATATAACATTCCGGTAATCATATTTCCAAAGATAATTTTACATTTCATGAACCAAACGATCCCTTTCCGAAATCTTTTATTCCCTTCTAGTATGCACCATCGACCATCAATTTATATATTTATGGGTAAATTACATTAATAATTACTAAAATTCGAATAAATTTCATATTTTACTATTGAAGTTTAAAAATTACAAAACCATCATTACTTACATTATCATTAATATTTTTGAACGAAAAGAAGTGAATACAAACTAGCAAAACATAAGCTACAAAACCGCAGAAGGTAGCCGCGAATCTATTCGACGTGCCCTATCAATGTTCTATTTGTACCATCCCGCAGGAGGTAGCCGCGAAACTATGTTATGATCCATCCGCTGTTAATAAACGTTACTCACGTTATTGATTTATAATAAAAGAATCTTTCGGTCGTTAATTTTTATTATCTTTATAACATTGTTTTGATATTGCATGTCATGCTACATTAAATTGGTTGGCATGTCATCTTTTTATTAATTAATAATGTCATAATTGATTTTAGGTTGGAAAATCTTTTTGTTTGAAAATATGTAAGGATTTTAACAACAAAATCTTCATCGATCGTTGTCAATTAGATAGGATTAATCATTCATAAAATAATTTTTTTTAGATTTAAAATTAAGTTTCAATTTTTTTTTTGAAGTTTCAAAATTGATTACATGTAAAAAAAGTTAAAACATTTTTACGACTCTCAAAATTGACAATCCTCAAATTCCTTCACCTGGTTTTTATTAAAATATTCACTCAATTCCTTTTATTAAATAATATTGGGTAAATTATGTATTTAGTACATAAAGTATCAGTTTTTATTTGTTTTAGTATCTAAACTTTTAATTTTTTCAAAATCATATTTAAAGTTTTATTTTTTTTCATTTTAATACCCCGTTGTTAAATACTTTAGTTTTTGTTTTATTTTAAAACCCCTTTCAAAATTTAACATTAATTTTTTTTTAAAAAAAAATAAAAATTTAAGTACTAAAATAGATCAAAATTAATAATTTATGTACTAAATGTGTTAAGTTCTTAACAAGGGTAATAAATACAAGTATACAATCATGATGTAGATATAATGTGGCTTGGTCTCCTCCGGGGGGCCGTGGAAGATTAAATTTAAATACGGATGGAGTTAGTCAAGGTAATACGGGGTCTTAGGAGCGGGCGGTATTTTGAGAGGCGAAACTGGTGAGTGGGTTTTAAGTTTTACCACTTGGATACTTGTACTAATGTGGCTGTTGAGCTTCATGCGATTAGAATTAGATTGACAATTGCATGGGATCATGGCTTAACCGCAACATTGCATGCGAGGTGAATGCTCGGGTGGTTCTCCAGTTGATACAACCATAATTTGAGTTGAAAATATTATCATAATATTAAAAGTTAATCAGTTGATAAGTTATTTTTATTTGTTACTAAAAATGTTTGAATCCGTGATAAGCTGCGACTCAACAGCGTAGGCAGCGTGAGAGAGAGGATCCTAATCGATTATGATTCTAATTTGTTTTCACGTGAAATGGATGAGAGTTTCAAAGGGAACGGCAGCTAAAACGGGTTTTTGTTTATTATTTTCCAGATAATTTAATTTAATTTTATAAACTGAAAGAAAACAGACAAGTACATCCTTAATTTCTTGCACTTCTCCTGCAGGAAAGCTTCATGCCAACCAAACATGCTTGTTTCTCTCTAGCTGCTAACTAAAAGCTGGCATATATTACAAAGCTCAAGGGATCATAATTCCAAGATTCTAAGACCAGATAAAGACACTCATGCTACATAATGGATCATAATTCATTTGCTTTTCGGACCACGGAGAGGAGGCTCCCTTCCGCAGCACCGATCGGCACCGTTTCGACTCGAGAAGTAGTACTTCAACATATCTTCTGGGTATTAATACGTGCACACACGTGTATATATACGTATAATGCAAAGTCCAGTAAATCATAATTCAGACCTTGCTTGGCTTATCACCATTTAGTGACAGTCGCCTACTCTCTGGCTTGAAATTGGGGGAACGGCCCTTATCATTAGACTCTGGACAAAGGCTATCATCTGCATCAAATGAATCTCTAATTAATAAACCAAACCCGCAAGCTCAATCCACGGTTCAATGCTTGAATGCTTTCGCCTTAGAACATAATACTGATTATGATCGAATGGTGTTCTTACCAAGGCAAACCCGACACACATGATACTGAAACCGGGGAAATAAAACGGTGCTGTATCCGACAGGAACAAAGCTGGAAGATTAATGAGTAAACTATGTGAGTCTAAAGTTAGAATGAGACAGCCGAAGAAGTCCAGTCGAATTTTAGTTAACATGTTAGAGGGGAAAAAACCAAGGGAGAAGCAACATTGGCAAAGGAGCCTATGCCTGATATGAACCCTTGAGCCTTCCCCTGAGAAAATAGTAAGGCATTAGTCTGTTTTAAACAAACAAGTAAACAAAACCGAAGGGAGATATCCGTGTCCGACACATATTTAGACACGATGCTCCTTATCTGCAAATACCTGCTCACAGGGCCCGACTTGTTTAGACACGATGCTCCTTATCTGCAAATCTCAAAGCAAAAAGTACGTTAAAAATATAGTAGAAGGCGGATTTTTGAAGATTTTGTAACATTAAATGAAGCGAAAAACTTACACATGGTTGTGAAAAAACATATACCAAAGAAAACATAGCTGCTGCATAAGGAACCTGTCATGTTACGAAAGAGGAAAGTATTAGGCTATTAGCCGTATTAAGATATATAACTTAAGCTAGTTGAAACAAAGGAAAACAGAGAGATGATCATATTCAAACTGAAGGAAAATGATAAGATTGTTAGTTCTAAGTTTCAAAATTTACCCAGAAAGACCATGCGATGCTGTAAACGATCATCTGCATTCAACCCCAGAAATTATATGGAATATAAGATCAATGGAACATGTGGTCATGTCATAAAAATCATATGATCAGACAATAAATGTATCAGATATAAATAGAACATATAAGCTTACATTTGCACAGTTAAAGAAAATCCCTATGGCCAGCAATTTCTCTTCACCAAGAACAGGAACCAGTAAGGGCATGAGAAGGAGCTGAAATGATTGCTTTGAGTTTCAGATCAACAGAAAAGAAAAAAATTGCAAATAAAGATGAATCAAATGAATGGAAACATAGTCCACATGCCTGGGAAATGGTCCCTGCAACTCCAGTAATGACCATTAAATCAGCAAACTGATTTTTGTTGAAGTGAAACCTGGCCTTTAAATAGTACTGCAAAGAGAACTTCAACTTGTTCATCTTCCGAATTGTTATTTATATAAAATCTTATTGATATAGTATTGGAAATGTACCAGCAATGAAGCTTGGAGGCCGACATCAGCCAGATTGCTGAAAAATGAAACAATTGCGGCTTGTGAAAATGTTGAGCTTGTCTTCAACAAGGCCTGCATATCCTCGATTGAAGGCATGGTTTTAAACGTCTGCACTTTCTTGTCGGACTCCACATCCTGATTAACAATGCCTTTGAGTTTTCCTTCCGACATAATCGGAATAGAAAGATTGTCGTTTACGATCGAATCAGGGAGGAAAACCCTCATGTAAACCGCTGCCAGCATTGCCATTGCCGTCGCAACCTGGAAAGTTGAGGCAGTAGAGAGAAAACGAGTAGACAGAGTTCCGCAGACAAAAGCACATGATCCGACGCCGGAAAGAATCCCGAAAGCCGATGCTCGTCTACCTTCCGGAAAATTGTCTGCCTGTAATAAACAACTGAAATCTCAGACTCTGAAAAGCATTAGACTCGGCCTAAAAAAATAGAAGAGGTTTACCACATAAGCAAGGGAGAGACAAAGAACACTTCCTTCACAAAACATGGCAGTGAGAATCTTGAGGATATAGTAGGCATAAAAGAAGTTCCTGCTTCTGCTGTAGGCCAATATGGCTGCCAACAAAAACAACAAGCATATCCCATTCAATTTCTATCTTCAACAATTATGCGTCATCGTGCATCAATCTTTTCATGTTACCTAATGGGATTATGGCTAGAGTGACGGGGACTGTCAGCAACGCCTTCCTTCCATACTTATCAGAGAGATTACCAATGAGAGGCATCGTCACTAGGGATCCAAGCCCAATTATCTGCATAAAATCGTACGCTCGTTTATTTTATACATGTTCTGTTCCACAACTCGAGTTACATTTTAAAGCATAAATAAGAAAACCCCCTTTTTTTCCCCAATATATATGTGAATAGTTTGAGGTTATTCGATAAAAGTTCGTCCTCTGACAAAAAAAAAATCTTATGTCCCTTCGTGTAGTTCCATAAAGACGAGATTCCGGAAATGGGAAGGAAGAAACTATGCTGTATATCTGATATTACAAGTTAGAAAAATGTGTGGACCACGCACAGACAAAACTGAATGAACCCCTTCACTGGAACCAAGGGGAAGTTTCCTTTGATTAATCTCAAACAAATTTATCCCCGTGCTAAAAGACTCACATGCTTGGAACCTGTAACATTAACCTTGAAAAATGTAGCCAAACGTAAACTAAATACTCGGTTGCAAGGGCTGAGACCGACTAAAATTTAACGTAAAATTGTGTTTTGAATTGTCTTACCAACTCATAAATGGTACTCCATAAAACCATTATCTAAAATTGCCATGGATGCATGCAACGAGTTTAGATGAAAAAAAGGGAAGAGTACGGAGTTGCGACCGAGTACCGTCTGTTGAAACCCGGTGAGGTAAATCGCGAGTGAGCATTCGGATTCTCCGGGACAAAGAGCAAACATGGTGATATCGACGATGACCGGAGACGCCATCAAAGTCGCAAAGATATGGAGAAAGAATGTCACACAAAGATGGGTGAAAGCCGGTAACGTTAACATCTTTATCTCTCTCTCTTTATGTGGAGCAGCTCAGAAAATTCAGAGGAAAAAGGTTGAAGAAGAAGAAGCAGATAGTATGTCGGAAGAAAATATTTGGCACCTCACTTGTTAAATCACTTTTTTCGAAGCTAGCGACGTAAGCAAGAAACACCCATTGGTAAATGTCAAATTCTCACTGTCGTAATAACTCTAGACTGACACTACGCACTAGGCAATTCCAGGTTCATGCGCCAAGCGTTGTCGAAACATGGGATCAACCGACCACGAAAAGGGAAAAAAATGGCCGACATTTTGACCTTTTTATCCATGTTTTGTAAGGGTGTGAAAAGTTGGATTCAAAGTTTCAAACAGAATTAATCCACCACATAAAATATAATTTGATTAATAGTTAAAATTTCTTTAATTACAATAATTTTAAAATTTTAGTTATTGATTAGTTTAATTTAAAAAATGGTAATTATTCATATTAATTATAAAATATAAAACTCTAAATTCAAATTGTGTAAAATAAATTCATGTATTTGAAGATGGAAACAAAATTGAGCATTGAGAAATCAAATACTTAAATTAGTTTGGAATTGGATAGATTAATTTCTTTTTCAAATATTTTAATCTGATTATTAACTAAATATTTTAAAATTTTAATTAGTTCGGTTACTGTTAATTCAGTTAGATTTAACACCATCATGTTTTCCAAGTATTTCAAAATTTCTATTCATGTCTATTTATAATTGTTTGAATTAGCGTAGTGGCGACCCTTCAAAGATATTAAACGATAGTGACACATTTATTCACTATTGCTTGGTAATTGTGTGTGACTCCACTATACAGCCCTTCGTAATCGTAAGGATGGATACGATAGTTAGATTTGAAAATTTTGATCAAAAATGATTTACGAGATATTTTTATTAAGTTGAAAATTGAATCACGACTAAGATAAAAAATCTTGATCCGGTATAGATCCAGCTAGACCCAGATCTAGAACTATTTTTATATCCTGGATTTAGACCCGTCCCGGATCCGTGAGTTTAGAAAATTGAGACCCAGATCTAGATTCACATCCATCGGATCTCACATATTCAGGTCCAAAACGGGTTTGTTAAGAAACGACCATTCAACCTATTTTTTAACATAATAAAATTGTCATTGACTAAATTCACATCATATCTTCAATGGAGAAAATATTAATTTCAGTACAGCTAATAACAGAATAAAAAAACGATAAACTAAAGTCTCGAAAAAAATTCAACACAATTACACAAATATCTTTTGAATAACACAAACATTAAAAATGTAGATTATGAAGCATTCTATTGTTGCAAGTCGAGTTTAAAACCTATAAGAACTAACCCTATAAGACTTCAGGCATCTCCCTCTATAAAATATTTATATATATTTTAAAACATATTATGTCATTTATATATATTTTAAAACCAAATGTGATTTTCTCTATAAAAGGGTAAATGGATCCATACCCGTTATTTTAGTGTCAAATTCGGACTGGATCTGTACTTTAATCAGAGGATCCGGATTCGGTCTGGATCCGTCAGGTCTAAAATTTTAAGATCCAAACCCTATAAAACAAATATAGATCTACGAATTTATATCGGATCTATGATCAATTACCATACAGGATAATAATAGATTATCTTTTATATATTTAATAATAATTGTAATAATATTTTTTTATATTTTTTCAATTAATTCTACGTTTTATAAAAAAATGAGATCTATACGTAGCATTATATATGTGTGTGTGCGCGCGTTAAATCGAATACATATTATTACTCTAAAATCAAATTAATTTTTGAATCAAATAGAACTACTTAAAATCTAAACTAAATCAAATGACATATAAAAACATAATATCCAATTTGAGTTCGAATATGTAGAAAATTTAATTTAATCCGACCAATATTTACCTCTAATACCTTTTTCAATGGATTGCATAAAGAGACTTGTCTCGAGCCTAGAGGCAAAAGAAAACTATGTACCTAACATTTATTAAGACAAGAAAAAAAAAACAGATGTACCTAATTCTCAAACAAAAATTTATGTAGATATATATTTATATGATTTATTAACTGTGGTTCATTAAAGTAGAAGATTTGCCTTTGGTCCACATCTACTATGGGGTGGACCCAGAAAGTACTCGAAAGTAAAAAAGAAAATCTTGAATGTTGAAATTTAAGGGGAAATTTGGTTTAATGATCGAGACAAATGGAGTTTTTAACTTTTTTTGGAATTTGAAGATATCCTTGTTGCTTCCTAACGCTCAATATTGGTGATGGTGAAGGTTTCACTTTACAAGCCACACGTTACCTTCCGATTGTCATTAATGACCCAATTACTTCAATAAGATGCAATTAAGGACACCTTGGACTTTTACACAACTTGTAATGACAATGACCAAGTAGTTTTACTCATTGAGCTATGTCTCCAAGGATGTAGCCAAAGATGGAGTTATAATGCTAATTCGGAATAAATTATTGAGCTATATCTCCAGGGATGTAGTCAAAGATGGAGTTGGTACTGATTTGGAATACAAATATAATTTATTTAGAAAGAGAGAACGATTCATAATTGATTTATAAAATTTTAAATTATTATATAAATTAAGGGGGGAATTAGAGATAGGTTAAAGAGAGATTCTTCCGTGTATAAAATAATCTCGTCATTGAACATAATTACGAGTCGACTCAATTTATATGTTTATTTCGTATTACTTTTTAAATCCTTTAATATTTTGATATTTTTATTGTATATTAATAATAAAAGAGATCTGAAGCAAAACTGAGTTTGAAAAATTAAAGATACACATAAACAAATGCAAGAAAGAAAATAGAACGTAAAAAGAAGACATTATTGTTACCGCATGTTGTAACCCGGAGGTGTAAATGGCGATAGAGCATTCGTCTTGTCCGGGGCAAAGCGCCGCCATTGTGACATCCGTGATGGCGGGAATCACCATGAAGGTGGCGAATGTATGGAGGAAGATGGTCATGAAGAGGTGGCCCAGCCCCGACATTTTCTCCATTGCTCTACCCTTCTCTCTCTCAACTTGTGAATGAAGCTAAAGCTATAAATAAGGAGAGAAGCACCGAAAGGAACAAAAGGCAGGGGGGGAAATCTAAAGCAAGGCCCCTCAAGCTGCAAGCAAGCACTTCCAAAGCAAGAAAGTGGTCAAGCACAACGTTGGTTTAAAGACAAAGTGAAGTTGGTGCATAAAACTTTGCCCTTTTATTCATCAATCTTCCTTACATGTCTCTGTCGTTTTTCATACAACGTATCGTTGTATCCATTTCGTGGAAATCACCCGCAGATCAGAACAAAAAAGCTTAAAAATTCAGAGGAAACCGGAATGTAGGAAAAACTGAAAACAATGTTGTTTTTATCGGTTTTATGGAACATGCAATTTAGATATGAAGTGTTAAAAAATTAATAATGTTAAGGATTTTAATTAGAGTGTTATGAAATTTAAGAAATAATTTAAATTTTGAATAATAATTTAGTGAAATTGATCATTTTATTTCAATTTTTATTGGTCCGGCGCTCATTACAAGCAAAGGCGTAGAAGAAATGGTTTAAAAGTGGGGGATAAAAAATAAAAAAGGACCACTGGCTTCGAAGCGTGCAGCGGCTGTTTACACTTCAAAGTTACGCTTCAGAGCGTGCAAGCTTGAATTTCCAAATCCACTCTGACAAAAATTGTTTAATTAAGGTTTCTATTATTTTTTTTATATCCACTTTTATTGTTTTTAAGAGTTAAATATAGGGATGTGCATGAGTTGGGATTGGGTCGGATCGGCCAACTTGATCCGACCCGAAAATTTTACGTCTTTCATCCGACCTGACCTGAACCTGACGCGATATTTTAAGATAAAATTCAAACTCGATCTGAACCGACCCAAAATAATAAAAAATATCATTTTTATTCAATAACAATAGTGATTTAATGGAAAAAAATAATATATATAGAGGGATATTATTGTAATTATTTCTAAATATATAAGGTAAAATTATATTTTTTTTGGGTCGGGTCGGGTATTTTCCACCCTAAATCTGAATCTGACTTGACCTGAACATCTTCGCTTTGATTATGGACGACATCTATTGTACGACACCAGACGGTGTTCCATGGTGTATGCTTTTCGCTGACGACATTGTCTTAGTGGCTGAAACAAAAACCGAGCTGAATAGTAGACTGTCTACCTGGAAAACAGCTTTGGAAGAAAAAGGTCTAAGGATCAATATTGAAAAGACAGAGTATTTATGTTCAAACTTCAGTGGGAACCAAAACGATGAAGATGTAGATATATGCTTAAAAGGACACGTTCTCCCCTCAAAGGATTGTTTCAAGTACCTAGGGTTTATGATACGTAAAGATGGGGGTGTAGATGAAGACGTTTCACACCGTATAAAGGCGGGATGGCTAAAGTGGAGGGCTGCTACTGGAGTTTTGTGTGACAAGAAGGTACCTCTAAAACTTAAGGGAAAATTTTATAGAATGGCAATAAGACCAGTGTTGCTGTATGGATCAGAATGTTGGGCTATCAAGAAGGATCACGTAAGGAAGATGGAGGCCTCAGAAATGAGAATGCTTCGATGGGTATGTGGTAGGACTCTGTGGTACATGACACCAAACTCTGCTATTAGGATGTCCTTGGGGGTGGTGCCTGTATCCGAAAAATTGAAAGAGGGAAGACTACGGTGGTTTGGGCATGTCCAAAGACGACAACCATTGGATGCGGTTAGGAGGGTAGAGTCGATTACAGTCGACGGTACCAGAAGGAGAGGTCGACCAAGGCGGAAATGGGAAGATTGCTTGAGATCTGATTTGAAGGATTTAGACCTTACTGAGGACATGACCTCTGATAGGAAATTATGGCGACTTAAGACCATGGTAGCCGAGTAGGGCGAGTCACATCCATTGGGTGTATCATCTTAGTCTTCTTTTATTGCCTTTGTAGTAATTTCATTAATTGTACTTTTTATACGTTTCTAGCATTGGAATTTATGAAGGCCTAGAACTAAGGTAGCGGAGTAGTGTTCCCTTAGTTTAAGTTCTAACCCATTTGACTTTATCCCTTCTCGAAGCCTGCTATCGTTGAATTCTGTGTATACTGCTCATCATGTTTCATCTTTATATTTTTGGTCGGGTCTTACGTTTCTGTCTATATGCAGATATTTTTATGCAGGGGTTTATTTGCAGGGATTACTTCCCATTAAAGACGTGCATATGAGGACTGCATATGAAGATTGTTCAACTACGTATTTTATTTATTTATTTAAGCATGCATTACATTTTATCTTTATTATTAATTTTTTTACTGGCCGGAGGTCTTCCACGGAACCTGCTCTCAACCTGGCGTTGGTGGACAGCCTACTACCCTACCTCCCACTTATCCCATTGCATATCGGAATAGGGTTTTGTTGTTGTTGTTGTTTTTGCAATACTTGATCTAACTTAATCAATTATTAAATTAAAAATCAGTGATTATATTATTATATTTTTCAAAACTCAACTTTACTAGTATTAAATTAAAACCGCATTAACTCCTTTAATTAAGGGGCGTCACTATTATCGTGCACTATAAAGACATGTACTTGTATGTTTGGTTTCCCCTAAATCAATCGTTTTGATTTTAAAGATTGCGTAAACCATAATTAGAGTTTATTATAGCATGGTTCATGGTTCAATGAAAACTTGGACATACATTGCATCCAATAAGCAATCAAGGGCAACAGTTGCAACAATAATTGGTATCTCGAACGTCATTAATCTACAACTGATTATGTGGATTAATTAGTCCTACCATGAGATGCCCAATTCCCGGGTTAGTAGTTTTGAGCTAACCATTAGACTTGTGTGAGGCCCTTGCCCAAGTATGAAATGGATTGAGCTTGATTTGAGCCCATTAAAGTAAAAATGGAGCATTTTTGAAATGAAAATAGATGAGAGAGGACTATTAGAGTGATTTACCCCTAAAGATTTGTGAAAGTCGAGGGTATAATATCAATACTCTCGAGGTATCGGTACCGGGTTTTTTCAAAACATCAAAAGTAATTTTGTATTGGTACTGGGAGTATCGATACTGAGGGTAGAATATTGATACTCTCAATAGGGGTATCGATACTGGAGCATTTTCCAAAACATTGAATGTAATTTTGGTACCGATACTCAGGGAAGTATTTACACCCTAGAAGGGGAGTATCGATTCTATCGTGAATATTTAGGCGGTAAGCCTAGCTTGTTGTAGAAGGAAGAAGGTGGGGTTTTTGTTGAGAGGAAAACTCTCCAATAAGAATACAAGTATAAACCTTAACAATTGTGTGATAACATAAGATCTTAATGAGGTAAGATTCCATTAGACTTATGCTTTGGTTTGATGCTCGGGAACTGATGAGGATATCCGAGTCACTTTATATGACGTTTGTGTGATAGAATGAGGATTATCCGGATATATCCAAACAAGTGCTTGGGCACTTAAAATGCTAGTTGGATGATGTCCTGATGCTATGAGACTCAAACACGTCCCAAGTATTTGATAGGAGTAGACTGGCTTGGCAAGGTGCCGACCCTATGTAACTTGGACCTAGCCTAAGATATCGTAAGATGCTGATGCTATGTGACCCATGTCTTAACTGAAATACCCTTAATAAGAAAATAAGGGTGTGAGTCCTGTGATGTTATGATGAACTCGAGCTACATCATGATGCTTACTTTCATTCTCTGATAAATGTACACATGATTTATAACTATGCACGTAGCATGCTCATATGTTGAATGCATGTAGTATAGTTGGGTTATTTGTGTGGCATTGAGCTTGTGAGCTCAGCTTATGGAATGTGTTTCTATGCGCAGGTTCGTAGGTGCCAATCCGAGGAGCTTGTCGTCAAATTCAGGAGTCCAGACTTGATCAGCTTCTAGAGTTTGTCGTGAGTATTACAGTGACATGTACTATCATAAACCTTTATGTAGTGTCTAGTCATAACTCTTTTGAATTCTATTATTATAGATATTATTATTGAGAGCTTCCCCGTATTTTGTAAACATACTAGATATATTTTACCTTGATGAGATTTATGGATGTAAATAAAATGTTTTTTAAAAAAATTAGTCACTTCGATGGTTACGTGTGATATTCTAATCTATTAGGTTTTTAGATTGTATCGAATTAGGGTGTTACATAGCCTACACATAATTAGGTTATTCTAAGATAAAATTGCTTCAGCGGTAGATTCAATTCTAAGGCTAAAATATAATCACGACTATGGATGACTATCTATATAGTTTATAGAGATGAATTAAGTGATTAACATTTTTTTGGTAAGGTTAAATAAAATTTGATTCAACTAAAAAATATATTTTTTTATTTGGTTCGATTTAAAAAATTATATTCAACTTAATTCAACTCGTAATTTTATAAATTTGGTTCAAAAAATTAAACTTGAGTTCAATTATAAAATAAACTCAAGTAACTCAAAACTTTTAGTAATTAGTAGATTGATTTTTAAGTCTGATTCGAGTCTCTCAACTTTACATGATATATGATTATATAAAACCATTTAAATTAGGATCAAATAGTATCATGAAATTATAAATATTTACAGAAATTTAACTCAAAATTTTATTTAAATAAAATTTGAGTTATAAAACATGTCTCGTCAATTTAATTAACTCAAAATGTTTTAATTCGACTAAATTGAATACTTACCCCTTATTTTCCGGCATCCCAAACAGCATAGAATAGCATATTTTATGCCTACCCAAACCTAACATCGGCTTCAAAATTTATTCAAATCCATCTATATTCAATTATAAATAATTAATTAAAATCAATGTTTAGTTTGTTTATATTATTTTTCAGAAAATATTTATTTTATTTTTAATTCAGCATTTAACAATTTTATTTTGTTTCTTTATTTTTAATACATTAAAATTTTAGTTTTGTTTTAATACTTACATTATAGAATTATATGTCATCATAAATTTAATTAATTACATCATATAAATGATATAATATATTAAAATATAAAAAGGGCCCGTTC